CATTGCATTCTCAGAATCCTTCCGTAGAACCACATCTCTGTTGCTGAATGTCATATAGCAATACAGATACTACATCGATGTTCAGCCTCCTTTTTTTTTTAGTTTCTTCTCAAATGTTTCTAAATACTTTGTTCAACATTCACTGCCATATAGGAATACATATACTACATAGATATTTAGCCATCTACATTGTTCAGTATTCACTGCCATATAGGAATACAGATACTTCATAGATGTCCAACCATCTTTTCTTTTTATTCTTTTCCGAATTGTTTCTTAATACTTTATTCAGCATTCATTGGCATATATGAATACAAATATTACATAGATGTTCAAAACCTTCTTTTGTTTTTTTTCCGAAATGTTTCTTAATAATTTGTTCAACATTCACTGCCATATAGGAATACGGATACTACATAGATGTCCTGCCATCTTTTCTTTTGTTTCTTCTCAAATGTTTCTTAATACTTTGTTCAGCATTCACTGCCATATAGGAATACAGATACTACATATATGTATATCCCTTTTTTTTTTTTTTTGTTTCTTCCGAAATGTTTCTTAATACTTTGTTCATTGTTTAATGCCATATAGGAACATTCTCAGCTGGCATGAAGTGGAAAGACTATATTGAATCCATTGCTCGGCGAGCTGCTAAGAAAATTAGTTCTCTATGTCGGACTATAATTTTTCTCTCCAGGATCCATTTCAAATTTCTATAAGTCTACCATTCGTCCATACGTAGAATATTGCTGCGACATATAGTTCAGTGCCTCTGCTATTTACCTTGAGCTCCTTGATAAGATCCAAATAAGATTCAGCAATATTATTGGTCCTGATCTGGCGGTTCGGCTTCAGTCACTTTCCCTCCGCCGTAAGGTTGCCTTTCTATGTTTTTTCTATAAATACTTATATCTTTTCTATAAATACTTTCATGGTAATTGTTTGGATGAGCTTTTCTCTATGGTATCTAGACTTTTTGAATTTAAGCGCAGTACAAGACTGGCGTCAAGATCTCATCAATTTACAGTTAAGGTGGCCAGATATAGCCGTAAATGCTAACGGTTTCTTCTCTTGCAATTCTTGCTTGTGGAACTCCCTTCAGGCCCCGTGCTTTCCACCCAACTTTAATCTGCAAAAATTTAAATGCAATGTCAATCGCTATTTTTCTCCTGATTACTCTCTTTTCTTTCTGCTCATCATTAATGTTTCTGTTCCTAATTCTACCACACCCTGTAACCTCCTTGTGTTTATACTGTTTTTACATCATTGTCTTGTTTTGGGTGATGCTGATTAAAACTACAAAATTTTAACCTCAAGGAAGGCAGTAATACCACTAAGTCGCAAGGGGCGACTGGGAAGGAAAGAGAATGAAAAGACTTTAAAAGGAACCGGAAACCAAATCCTAAACAGGAAACAAGGGATAAACCTCTACTCCTGTTCAAAAGACTGAAAACGAGTGTGAATAGGGGAGGGGTAGTCCAGCCTGTCTACTCTTACACGGCCCATAGATAATATTTGAATACTCCAAAATTATTTTAATTTTCAATACAAGATGTCGTTATCTTCGTAAACACGAAATAGATAATAAGGGTCTTCCCGCACCAAAAAATATGAATATTTGAATAACTGCATGTCCTGAGCAAACGAAATTAAATAGGCTTCGTGTTGACCAATGACATATTTTATTTCTTAATATTCGAAAAAGTTATTCAAAGGGATGTGAATTTTATAACCGATTTCACAAAAGCTTCACAAATGTTTATTATGCGACACACGTTAAGTCGGTCGTCCAGCTCCTGACAAACACGCTGTAGCAGGTCTTGCGTAACATTCACCAGCGCCTCAGTGATTCTCTGCTTAGGTTCCTCTTGGCCTGTAGGAAGAGGGGAGATATAGATTTACAAATTTACATAGGCTCATAGAAAGAAATCACAAGGTGTCAAGCCAGTTGATCATTATTACTGACACCCTCGATTCATCTTCCTGGTAGATTCTCATTGAGTCTAATTAGTTTTTACACATTTTGTTAAAATTTGAGATCATTTAAGCGAAAATTGACTACATTATTTAGACTAGAAAGCGATGTCAATTTTGTGGGAACACTATAATATGAGATGAGAAAAGGAAATATTGTAATTATGAAACTGAAACTTTCCAAGCAACAACTTGGGTTAATTTTCTTTAAATTATCTTCCTCGAAATCATTTAATTCTACATCATCTTTCTGGCAGTTTTGGGGCTTTTAAATCTACCACCCCGATTATTTTCATAATAGCGTATTATTTTATTTCAGATTGGAATCTGAAACCGTAAGTAACAACAAATTAATCTGAGATCAGATTGTTTTATTTATAAAGACATTTGCTTATTTGCTAGAGAAATGAAGCTGTATACATTGAATAAATTACAAACATTATGTCTGCTTATTTTTATTATAATCCTTTCACGTTCACGAATATTTTTCCGTATATCACAATTAAATAATGCAAGAAATGCACGGTAACAGTGACAATCACTTTTATTTCCCAAGTACTTTCCATCTCTTTCTGAGATCATCATCAGGAGGGCAACTGGTAAGGCAAAAACTATGTGTATCTATCCATTACTGATTTTCTCCTTTTGTATTTAAATGCTACAGATGACAGTTACGCTTTAGCGTTCATTAGAACGTGAAAAGTTGCAACCCTGGTGATGATCCCAGTATCGTGAATATGAAAGGATTATGTTAAAAATAAGCAAACATAATGTTTGTAATTTATCAGACATGCCTAAGAGCTGCCTAAATACACATCAGTACATATATACATAACCAGGTTTCCCAGGACTGGTAAAAAAACTCGCACAAAGCAAAGTGGGTCCTGCAGGGTTAGGATGATTATATATGTATATTTAATAGGCATTTTTTAGTTTTGGAGATTTTCCGCGTGTTATTTAAGGACGTTTTTTCTATGTCAACACCGCTCTTGGTAGTTAAATATGCGTTAGATTCTTTAAGAATTGATTTAATAAAGGTTGGTGATGTAATATAGTGTTTTTGACATAATGTTTATATTTTGTTTATCAGGGTTCTCTCGAAGTATTTTCGACGTAAATAATATATATATATATATATATATATATATATATATATATATAATCATTCGAATCCCACAAAGGCAAACTAGGATTATGACACACATACATAACTTATACACAGGAACACACTCTCACACACACATGAATATATATATATATATATAGCGTCAGTTTAGACGCTAACCATCCGTCCATGCGGCAGCAGGTTGTACTGGGTTACATTTTACCAGTAGCAGGCCTAAGCCTAACCTGATTCTCAAGAAAAAGAACAGCAGTCGACTTTTTTTTTTATTTCCCTCTCTACAAATAAACATCGATTGCCATTGATACAGCCAACTTTAAAATATAACCATAAACACTTATTGTTCTGTTAAACTATACGTTTAAATGTAGCAGAAAACAATAGCGCATATGTCGACATTGCTAAGTTTTAATGACCTTATCTCACACACTTGTGTGATGTTGCCTTTGGCTTTACATAGAGAAATCTAAGAAAGCCTTCCACAACTCGTGCTGATGGCCGATAAGCTTAATACATTTGAAGTCCTTTCCTGATACACTTGCTGCAGAGAAAAGTTTGAGAAGTAGGTCGAATATGTAACAGCTTTCTGAGACTGTCGCCATCTCGTCAATTTCATTGCAAACACCAAAACCGCCAATTTTCCCAAAGTCACAAATATGGAAAGAAAAAATTGTGCTGCCTGGTTTAACGTAATCTGCTAAAAGGAAAAAAAAATTCTTGCTGGGAGTGTTTATATGAAGCTATTCATTAATGCCCTTGTGGAAGGCATGAGTCGACTTGTCCCTTCTCCATCAACAAATGTACTGGCAAACTCGTGTCACTGAGGTTTACGGGCACATCACTTTTGAAACACCGAACCGAAGTTAAGCAACGCTGAGCCTGATCGGTATCTAGATGGGTGACCGCTTGGGAATACCAGATACTGTAAGTTTGGATTTGCGGGCGGTGGTTAGGGTTAGGGGAAAAGTGTGTGAACAAATTCTTGTGGATCAATATTTTACGGAATTTAGTTTCGCCCGACCGTGTCCCGTAACCTCTTAAGGTCGTGCACCACATTTACTGCAGCTCTAGCAGCATTGAGTGTGTCTATGGCAAGAAAACCTGACGGAGCCCATCCCTCTTCAGACTTCTTTTGAATTCAGAGTTATATTTCTAGACAGATTGCTACCCAACGCTAGAGAACCCAGTCTGTTCTGATATTTAACCTTATAGCTGGGGTGAAGAGACATATCCATGCCTTCCCCAAAGGCAAATGTGTGAAAGTGGATGCAACAGATTAGACCTGAATTTGAACTTGGCTCGCCAATTCTACTTTTCTTGTCGATATCCATTACACTACTCGCACATCCACAACTTACACAGAGAAATCATGTTTAAAGTGAGTATTCTCACAACACATCTTTTTGTTTACACTTATGGCCAGCCGTAGTTTCAAAACGATCCTAGGTAACTTTGTTATTGGATTCCACTGGGAGCAAATGACATCGTTTGCTTTCAATGTAAGCATGTCAAATTAATGTTTTTCGTGACTTGGGTTCTATTAACTTTATCGTAAATGAGAGTCGACAAGAACCGTTAAGGCCCGGGCTTTCGTGGCTGGGGGTTTCGAATAGGGATAACAGTCATATCTGGTTGCAGAAAGATTATCAGCGTCATCAGTGGCATTATTAAAAAGTAGAAATAAGAAATTACATTTTTCCTCTTCATTCACTTTTTTTTTCTCTTCTGTCTTTGAAGCTGTTTCTTCCATTCCTTCCTATTTTTACGTTTATCCCTTTAACTCCATTTCTTACGCCTGCTTATTTACTCTCCTGAGTATCTGGCATTTATCTTTCGCTTACTACTCCTATTGTGACATCGTCCTCCTCCTCTTCTTCCCTTTGCACATCTCCTCCATTACATTATGCCCTCCTCACCATATTCTTTTTCATTTGCTCTTCTTCTTCTCCTCTTGCTCCCTTTTCTTTTAATCTCCTCTCCTTGCTTCCTTTTCTTTTGCTCTCCTCCTCACCCTCTCTATTCTTTTGCTCTTCTCCTCTCCCCCTTTTTCTCTCCCCTTCCCACTTTTTTGCTCTTCTCCTCCCCTTCCCCCTTTTTTGCTCTCCCCTTCCCCCTTTTTTGCTCTCCCCTTCCCCACTTTTCTTTTGCTCTTCTCCTCCTCCATTACAATTGTGCTCTCCCCACCATATCCTTTTTCATTTGCTCTTCTTCTTCTTCTCCTCCTCCTCCTCCCTTTTCTTTTAATCTCCTCTCCTCTTGCTCCCTTTTCATTTGCTCTCCTCCTCATCCTCTTTTTTTTTTGCTCTTCTCCTCATCCTCTCTTTTTTTTGCTCTTCTCCTCTCCCCCTTTTTTCTCTCCTCTTCCCACTTTTCTTTTGCTCTTCTCCTCTCCCCAATTTTTTGCTCTCCCCTTTCCCTTTTTCTTTTGCTCTTCTCCTCCTCCATTACAATTGTACTCTCTCCACCATATCCTTTTTCATTTGCTCTTCTTCTCCTCCTCCTCCCTTTTCTTTTAATCTCCTCTCCTCTTGCTCCCTTTTCTTTTGCTCTCCTCATCCTCTCTTTTCTTTTGCTCTCCTCATCCTCTCTTTTCTTTTGCTCCCCCCCCCCCCCTTTTTGCTATTCTCCTCTCCCTCCTTTTCTTTTGTTCTCCTTCTCCTCCTCCCTTTTACTTTTGCTATCCTCTCTTTTCTATCTGATGGAATCCTTTATTCTTTTACTTTCCTCTTCTTCCCCTCATTTCACTGCTCCTTTGTTTTGGGATCCTCTTTCTCCATTCTTTCGCTGTGTACTTTTCTTTCATTTTTTTTTCCTCTCCACATCCCACTTTTTCTCTTCCTCCTATCTTTACTTTTCTTCCTCCTCCCCTCTTTTCTTTTTCTTCCTCTACCCTCCACCCTTTTTTTGCACTTCTTTCCTTCTTGTTTTTCTTTAGCACTCCTTTTCTTCTATTTTCTTTTGCTCTCCTCCTCCTCCTCCTCCTCTCTCATTATCTCCTCTTCCTCAACTCTTTAAATGTCGCAGGTGCAGACTCTTTCTTCTCTTAATGTTATTTTGCGGTCTGCCGTTAGCAAACTTTGGACAAACGTCTTCTTGATCGTACAACGTCATGTAAAGAATCGGATATACAACAAAACATGTTTGGTTTAAACTTTTTATATATAAAAAAAAGTTTCCTGCCCCCCAAAAAACTGTAGAAGATATTTTAGCCATTTATATTTATTTTTAAAGAATTGTATTTTTTTTCTTTTTTGTTAACATCGACTTTTGTTTGTTTTGCTTGGTTTTACGGTATATCAATCTCGATGGATTATTTAATGCCGACAAGATTTTTATTTTAATATTTAAAAAAAAAATGTATTGAAGATAATTATTTTTTATTCATTGTATATCACCTGAAGAAGGCCGGAGCGTACAACGACTGAAACGTCGAGAATATGGCAATAAAGATGAAGACAACAGTCCGAATAATGTAAACAGCGGAAATAATGAGACGGTTATTTTGCGTCAGTTACAAAGGAAATAGAAAACTAAAATCTGTTTCTTTTCGGTTACTGACTGGAAGCACATCAGTAGTTCAAAAGAAATTGAAGCTGTTCTTTTGTCAGTATACTAAATAGAGGGGGAGGGGCTTGCGTGTTCGGAAAGTTAGCATTCGTAATCTTAGCTTTTCCCTGGACTCGAACGTCGGCCACTGAAGAAGATGAAGTTATTTAATAATAATTTATTATATGCCGATGTACTAACGATAATTGCGGAAAGAGTTTAGCACGATCTTGATAAAAACGGTGAACGGTTCGATTTCTGTCGGGGGATATTTATTTTCTATGAAATTTCTCGGATATTCTCTAAATGTAGTTTAGAGCATTTACTTAAATAATTGTATCTATAAAAATAGAATACAAACAGAAAATGTATTATATATATATATATATATATATATATATAATATACATACAATATACATACTAATAAGAATTTATTATGTATATATATATATAATTTATTATTATTTTATTTAATAATATGATTATGATATGAAGCATAAAATAAATCATCCATACAGGTTACGGTCAATATATGTGACCAACTGGAGATTGAGACGATTCGACAGATCCAACGCGAATGGGCTTACTTTAAACGGACCTACTGAACTCGGGAAATGTCTCTCTCCTTGACGTGAGTTGATTAGAACACTATTCTTATCGGAGTTGTGGTGTTTATCGAGCGCGCGGGAAACGGTCTTTATTAATTCTAAAATTGCTTTCCACTATTTGAATTACTTTTTGCTTAACCGATTGGAAATAAAGCGCGTAGCCTATGCGCAGATAATAAATTTACTCAATTCTTTTATTGCTATAGAAGCATATACTTCCGGTTAAATTTTCCAGCGATGTACCACGATGCCAAATCAAAAGAAGCAGCTAACTCGGCCATGTGTGTTTATTTATTCGTTTGGTTGTTTAGCGGCATACCAACTCCTTATGGGTCATTTAATGCCGAAATTTCATTTTCTTGGGAGCATTAGTAATTTCATTTACAAAAATGAATTGCTGGTAATCTTTTTACTATGAAGATATATTGTTGGTATTGTTATCATAAAAATGTGTTTTTATATTTTTATAATATTTTGACACCTGTTTAAAGGGTTCACTATTTGCCCCTAGTTGGGACCCTAAAAGATGCTACCACTCCGGGAGAGGGTGAATCTGAGAACAGCAGATATTAAGAGGTGGTTGCACGCTCCTAAAATCCATCAAGCAAGCCCAGAGTTTATAAAATAAATACAAGTTTTAAGCAAAAGAGATAATTTCTGTCCGAATTTCTGAGATGAGGAGTTTTTTTTGTTTTTTTTTTAGCATTTCATCCCAAGCAAGGCGGGAAGACACTAGGACGCAAGGGGTTACAGAAAATTTATAGCAAAGATCAGATAGGAGTGATAGAAGAAAGGATGAGGGTAGCGGATTGGTCAAGGCAACTGGAAATGTCGATTGACATTACACTTGAATAGTTGGAGATTATAGCTCACAGGGAAACAGGAGAAGGGAAGGGAGTTCCACAGACGAGAGGTGCGAGACATGAAGCTATTAGAGTAGAAGAGACGGCCACATTTAGGAGTTTCGACAGTGAAGGGGTGAGAGCGGGATGCCAGCCTCGTAGGGCGCTGGAACTCATGACGTCTGGGAACCAGCGAATGCAGCTCCTCGGAGCAATTTCCATGAAAGTATTTGTAGAACAGACAGTGGGAGGCGACGGCGCGTCTGTGAGAAAGTGACTGTAGATCATTTATAATTAGACTATTGTCCACGTCTTTGTTGTTGTTATCACAACATTTCGACCATTGTGTCATCCAGCCTTCATCAGGTGTTTTTTTTTTTTTCGTTTTTTTTTATCCGGATTTCAGTGTCGCACTTTCCGTCCTCTGTTAAAACATTCCCCAGATATTTAAGTTTTTGCACTTGTTTGATTTTGGTGTCACCAATTTGTAATTTTTATTTTCGGATCACCCTCTTTGCTAACAACTATATATTCTGTCTTCTTGCAGTTGATGTTTGGTCCTTTCTTCACGTTTTCCTTTATGTGGCGTTTTGTAGTTTTCTTTCCGTGTCTGCTATCAACATTGCATCATCTGCATCTTATGTTGTTAAGATTTTGGTCGCCAATAATGAATCATGATAGGATCCCTGATTCTCAGATAATTTAATAGGATTAGGTAGGTTCGCCTATCGTCCGGTTCACATTCCTCCCCGATTTAGAATAGAATTTTATCCCTGGTTTCCTGTTGAGGATTGGATTTCCGGTTCCTTCTAATGTCTACTTCAGCTCTATAATCTTAACGCATGTCCTTTCCTTCGCTAATATAACACCACAAGCTAACTCTCTACCTTGAGTGGATCCTGGCCCTTGTATCTGGCGAATATTAGTAAAAAAAAAAAAAAAAAAGTTAAATAATCGTTTTTATTAGACGATCGGATTTTTTGTTACCTTTTCGGCAATCACGTTTTTAATCAATCACATGTTTAAGCACGTGATTAATCAAGTGTTCAATCAATCAAGTGTTTAATCAGCTTTAGATTTGTTTAGCTTTTGTCTTTTCAGCCGGGAAAACCATTAACACATTTTGTTATGGATATTTTTTTTAATCATCACAAATGTGGGCTGCGTTGTATCATTTGTTCAGCAGCTGAACCATTTATTGTTGTTGCAGTGATCTCGTTTTTCACGTGAGTTGTATGCGCGATGCCGTCTGCACAGCTGTAAAAACATGGCCGCCTCACTTCCCACCATATTAATGCACTATAAAATGTTGATCGCGGATGTTTGAACTCTTTTTCTCGTCTTTTACTCGAGACCTTCGCGTAAACATTTGTATTTAGTGTGAAATTGATGCAAATTATGCTTTATCCGGCACAAAACTGAAATCTCTTAAAGGTATAAATTTGATGCTAAGAGGATAAAAAGAAAATAAGACAGGAAAAATATGAAAGAATTATTTACAAAGACGTTGTTTAGTTGATTTTGTTTAGCGGCATATCAACACCTCTATGGGTTATTTAATGCCGAAATCTAAATATTTTTACGTAATTTTATACTTTCAATTAAAGATATTTTTTACATAATTTTATACTCTCAGAGTAAAGGTAGATATATATTTTGTAGATTTCAAAATGTATTGGTGATAATTTTATTATAAAAATGTATTTTTATATGTTTTTAGTGTAGAACTGATTGCCATTTTGATATAAAATATATATATAAATGTACAGTTGATGTTTGCTTGGGGATTGACTATTTGCCTATATCCGGGACCCTAACAGATGCTACCACCCCGCAAGTAGGAAGGATGAAGGAGAGTGTGTACAAACTGAGAAGACATTCGGATTTGGCAGACGAATGCCTCATAGAATAGAAAGTTTAAAACTTGAGGGTCAAGTGCTCTGTGCTGACTTTAAAATAGTTTACCAATACTGTCAAAGAATGATGGAAATATTGAGTTGAGTTTTCCGTTTTGTTTATTAACGATCCGCTTAATTTTATACTCTGCTGTCTGATTTCCAAAACAAGGCTCAAGATCTCTCAAGGTAGAGGGTTAATGAATGAGGTTGTTGTAAGGGGGTAGAGAGAGGAAGTAAGGAGTGCACGTTATATAGGTAGATAACATTTGACCCGACTTGAAGAGATTAAGATTGTCAGGATTGGCGTTGATTGATTTTGTTTTTTACGGCTTATCAACCTTTTTACAGGTTATTTAAAGCCAGAAAATATTTTTAGAATGTAAGAAATTTAAAAAAATAATAATGATTTACTGATACAAATTCTAGTAATTAACCTATAGGTAGTGGAAGTGGATTCAAACGGTATTTTTGCGTAAGTGAATATAACGAACCCAACTAGAATTGGAACTCCGCTTTTCGATTTCCAATTCTGAGCCATTATGCATCACACCACCCGCACATCCACACCTGTTATTCCCAAGTGGTCACTCATCTAGGTACTGACTAGACTCGACGTTGCTTAACTTCGTTGATCGTACAAGAACTGCTGTTTCAATGAAACTTCTTCATTACCAATGGTGATTTTTCTTAGCTTAGATATGGCACAAGGCCGAAAGTATAGGGGCACCCACTGGGGATCGAACTGAGGATGAGTCAGTCCAGCGTGCGTGGCAGGACGGTTCCTAGCTGTGATAGCCTGAGCTGGTGGAACTAATGAATGTAGTTCGTCTGAACATTTACCATGGAAATAGCGAGAGGTTAGTAACATTTCGTCTGTGGGGAAAGGGATTGTCGAATGGAAAATAATTGATCAACCACATGCCGGAAAGAAAAGTATTGAGCATCACCAGCCCAGATATGTACAGCGCCTTTTTTTTTTTACCATGAGGTAGTCAACTTTAAATACTAAATCATTTTTAAACACTGACTCACAGGTAAT